GGAGCTTGGCCTGCATTGCCGGCAGGTAGTTCGGGAACTGGTCCACAAGACGCTGCCACGCCGGCAAAAAAGTGGATTTGCCTACTAGTTTCGTCACTCGCTCGAGTAAGAGGTCACGCACAGCTTCGTTTGCGATCTCCTCTTCGTCGCGTTCATCCTTGGGCTCTTCTGGTTCTGGCTCCTTCACAGGAGTTGGCGCTGGAGGGATGACATACGTGATGTCGAAGCCACCCGGACGTCGACCGCTCCTATTAACCAGTAAGAAAGGTTAACCAGCCTCATTAACCTAAACCATTGTCAAAAACTAGCATGCTTACCCTTTGATCGTGCCGTCCTTCTGGCCAAAGTGGATTTTTCCCATCAAAACGTCACCAACGGTACTACCGGCAGGAAGCTTGTCATGGGCAGGTTCTCCGATAAACAGAGGCACGTATTTGCCAGTAGCCAAGCTCTTCTTGTCCAGCGCTTTGCCACCCAATGCGACGTCGTCTTGATGTCCAAACACCGAGGCATTTATCTCTTTAACTTCGTGTTCTAAGACCAGAATCATCTGCTTGAATTTCTCCAGTTTGTTCACATCTTCGTGGCGCACTTGAGCACGAACAACATACGAGCCCTTCTTCAACGTCGTCTCGTTACCGTAGGCGTCAGAGCATCCAAGATACTGCTTCTTCTCGTCGAAGATCATCATCAACTGTGCCTCAAACGGAGACTCGTACAGTCGACCATTTAATAATGGCAGGTACGGTACTACTTTCCCCGCTTCCTTCTTGGTGAACGGGTACGTTAAGACCAACTGATACACTTGACGTTTATCCGGGAATTGATCGCGACTCGAACTTAACGGGGAGATCTCGGCTGTCTTGGGACGGATATGCTGCACGTACTTGGTGAAACTCACTTTAGGCGCCAAATTCTCAGTTTCCACAGTGCTAGAGACCAGCACCTTGTGCGATTCTTCCCCTCCAGTGACCACGATCTTCTCTTGATCAGGTTTAACACCGTGAAATCGAATCTCGATCTGCACAATCGAGTCTCCCAATGCACTCCAGAACTGACCCAAGCAGAACTCGGTGGTTAAACCTCCCAGTAGATCCATACTGAACGCAACTTCCTCTCCTGGTTTGAGGAAGAAGGCCTTATGGAACGATGACGAGCTCTGACGCACAAGCGGCTGGAACTGCAGAGCGTCGAACATGTAGAGCTTACCGGAAGCGTTGGATTCCACCTCACGGTCGTTCTCGTTAGCACGTGAGAAGATAATATCAGCCCAGGTAGAATCTTGAGCTGGTGTAAAGAACCGACGAGAGATATCACCAGGCTGGAACTTGGTCTGGTAGGTTACCACCGACTTGGCGTCTTCAGGCTTGATCACAGTAACTGGAATGGTAAACAGAGCGCCACGAGCCTCGTTCTTTGTGTCGTAAGCCACAATTTCGCCATAGTGTTCACCAGCAGTCAGGTGCTTGGTCTTCACGAGCACTTTGAACGCACGTCCGCCATGCATCAACGCCAGGTTTCGTCCCACATCGATCCACCGAGCAGAAGGAACCAGACGCACGTGTTGCTCGAAGTGAACCTTGTCGTCTTGCACCGCCTTCTTGTGGAACTTGGGCGTCACTGTGACGTTAACTTCCGTGCTATCATGAGCGAAGTCGACGCTGTCTCGAAGAAAAATACCACGCGCTTTGCCATCACCTGACGACGTCTTGATCTCGTAATGCAGAGGGAACTTCCGTCCACCATCGAACGAGTTACTGCCAGCTAGATACTTGAACGCTGGTAGCACTTGGATCAACCCTTTGCCCTGTGCGTACACCTCCACATTCGGCACTTTAACTGCAGTATTCTCCAACGCGCGACGGATAGAATACGGCGTGTACTCAACGCCCTGAGCTTTCATTGCACTGATCAGCAGTGCGATGTTTCCAGCGCAATTCGGCGAACTCATAGATGTGCCATTCATAAGCTGCTTCTTGTTCAACGTCCAGTTCGG